CCTCCTCCCCCACACCCTCCAGACAAAGAAAAAGAACCCCAACCTCCTTCCCATCCCCCCACCTTGCCCTGAAACCAAAGCAATTCATGAGAGGGGAAAACATTGTATCCTGCCCCCAACATAGAAGCCCTAATGGTTATCAGCAGGGATCCTGGTGTTCTCGAACCCCCTCTCCACCTTCCAAAATCCATGATTAAAATGAAGTGCCATATATATGTAGGTAACCATTGAATACCATGTTCTATTGATATATTTACAGTTCTAAAGAAATTTGGAAGCCTACCAGTGCCTCAATCACTATAATAAAATAAATTCTAAATACCTATACATTTTGGGATTTATCATGGAAAAATCAGAGCTTCCCCCTGCCCCCTTAGGTCAGATAATACAGATCCAGGCTCCCCGCCCCAGCTGCCAGGGCTATGGGGCCAGGGACCCAGGTCCATAGTCCACAGTTCCCGAGATGCGGCTGCTGCCTGTGGGAGGTGGTGGCTGCTACAGCATAGCAGAGCACAGAGCCCAGCTTCCCCTCCTCTGCAGGTGGTATAGCTGGAGCAGAGTCTGGGGTGGAGATGGGTGCAGCTGCAGACTCCAGTAGGGGGCAACCCCCCACTGCTGCATACAGTCCTGCAGGGGCAGGGGGGGCCTGTGCCCCCCAGATCTGTGCACAGGGTGGGGGCGGGTGGAGGCTAGCAGGTGTGGGCTACGTGCTGCGGGCTCCCTTCCCTGCTGCCCTCCCCTGGGGCCTCCACAGCCCAGCAGGCAGGACTCGCAGCAGCAGGGCAGAGTGGGGCTGGGCAGGGAAGCTTCTTGCCACTGCGAGCTCTGTGCTACCCTGGTGTTGTGCCCCCTGCCCACCCTGCAGCAGCAAAGGGCATAGCCCTGTGCTGCTGCCCTCACTGCTGCCCAGCAGGCAGAGGATACCTCTCCAGGGTGATGTGGGACTCACAGCAGCAAGGCACTTCCCCACCTGGCCGTGCTCTTTCCTGCCGTGCCGGGTCCCACCTGCTGGACTGCAGTGACTCCAAGGGAAGGCAGCAGGGCAGGGAGCCTGAGCCCACAGTGGGTAGTCTGTACCCACCCCAACCCTGCACACAGATCTGGGGGACACAGATCCCCTCTGCCCCCCCCACAGGATTGCACACAGTGGCAGGGAGCCAGCCTCTCTCCCTGCCCCCTGGAGGAGCCGTCCATGTCCCTGTCCCACTCTCCTCTGGGACCCTATGGCTTCACATTCCAGCCCCGGGGCCCAAGCCCCATGCAGTACCTGGCTGGGCAGAAGCCCCAGCCCCAGCCCCAGCTTTGCCAAACTCACTCCCTCTCTCCCTATGGGGACCTCAATCCCCCTCCCCTCCTTGCCAGATTTACCCGTGGGAGCTGCTGTCCAAGCTGCCTGGCAGCCACATGCATATACATGGTGCCCCTTGCCTGACTACCCTCCTCCCACTCCCACAGCCCCTTGAAGGCTGGAACTCTGCCAGCCTGCAGAGAGCTCTTTGCAAAAACGTAGTCCGTGTGTTTCTCCATTAAAATGAAAAATCTGTTTTTCTTGGGTAAAAGGGGAAATCTGTGGGGTTTTTTCTGTTTTTCAATGGGAAATGAAAAACCTGGATCCCCAGTGATATCCATGTCCATAGTCTAGGCCAGGCCAATTGCTTGAGTCTCTGTTGGGATCTGGCAGAATGACGCTAGCCCTCCAAAAGACTCTACACCTATTTCGGAGACATCTTCAACCCCGAGTCTGAAACCCTCACCCAATGCCCCACATCGGTGACTTCACACTGAGTGAGCTAGAGACCAGGATAAGCTAACTAGGACAAGAGACACTGCACCAGGCAAAGACAGCATCAGGTACAACCTGCTGAAGATCTGGGACTCGGGCTGCCTTGTGCTGTTGCTGCCCTTCAGCTGGTTCAAGGAATTGTGCCATACACTCGGGTCCTGGAAAAAAAGCCATGTCTGTGCTCATCCATAAGAAAGGTGAGCCTGACAACTCAAGGAGTGAATAGGCATAGTGCCATGGAAAGACAGACTGAAGCATACAGGCACCCAGGTAGGGTGGCCATCATGGAGGACAATCTGGTTGTCCTCTGTCCTCTATTGATATGAAACTGGACACCTTTATGTCCTCTATTTTTCTCTTGAGGAATTTTTCTTGAAGAGAAAAATAGAGGACATAAAGGTGTCCAGTTTCATATCAATAGAGGACAGAGGACAACCAGATTGTCCTCCATGATGGCCACCCTACACCCAGGGGTGCTAGAAGTTTCTAAAGGGAGCAACAAGAAACTGTTTTGACACAATGGAAACACATTAAGAATGGTCAGAGACCAATGTGGTCAAACATGGAGCTTCTAGGATTCCTTGAATGCAAAAAGAAAACATACAGGAAAGGGAAAGATGGGTAGCTCACCAAGGAGCCATATCAGGAAACAGCAAGAACATGCAGGGACAAAATCAGGAAAGCAATGGTTAAAAAATAATCAGCACCTAGCAAGGGATGTTAAAGGCAAAAAGAAAAGGTTCTGTAAATATGTTGGCAAGAAAACAAAGATCAAGGAAGCTGTGGCTCCACTGTTAGATATTCAGGGCAAACTCTTAATAGAAGATGCAAAGAAGATGAAACTGTTCAACAGCTATTTTGCATCAGTCTTCCCCTAAAAATTAGGCTGCAACCAAACAGCTCATAAGGAATATTTGGATAAGGTAGCAGACAAGGTGAGGGACGCAGCTTTTGTTGGGTCTGAATGAATTTAGGTCAGCAGGGCCTGATGAACTTCATCCCAGGGTCCTGAAGGAACTGGCAGAGAAAATCTCAGAGCCCTTGGCAATAATATTTAAAAACTCATGGGAAACAGGTGAGGTACCAGAGGACTGGAAAAGGGACAACATATTGCCCCTCTTTGAAAAAAGGCATAAAAAAAAAAGATGACCGAGGAATTGTGACCGATTAGCCTCACCTCAATATCTAGGAGTTACTGGAGAATATCATACCTGGGATTTTTGGGGAATCACAGACTCAGTCTGAGTGTTCAGTGTAATGTAGCCGCACCAAAGGCAAAGGTAGTTTTGGACTGTATCAACAGAAGCATAGGTGCAAGACACAAGAGGTTATAGTACCTCTTTACTCAGCACTGGTTATACCTCATCTGGAGTACTGTGTGCCGTTTTGGGCTCTACATTTTAAAAAGGACATGGAGAAGCTAGAGAGGGTCCAGAGGCAGGTGCCCAAAATGATAAAGGGCCTCGGAGGCAAGCCATACAAGAAGATGTGGAAGTAAATCGGCATATTCAGCTTATGGAAAAGGTGCTTAGAGGGGGACACGATAGCAGTCTTCACATATCTGGAGGGCTGCCATAAAGAAGAGGGACACTACCTTTTCCCTCTAGCTGCAGAGAGCAGTACACAGACTAATGGCTTGAAGCTGTAGCAAAGTAGGTTTAGATTGGAGATCAGGAAAAACTTCTTCACTGTTAGTGCAGTGAGGCAGTGGGATTTAAAATTTTAATTTTCCAGGGGAAGTAGTAGAATCTACGTTACTGGAGGTGCTGATGTGGAGATTGGACAAGCACTGGTCAAGGATGATCTGGGAGTAGCTATGCCTTTGGTTATTTCCCATGTTTCTGGACTTTGCTGGTTTCCACATGGGACTGGAAAGGAAATCCCCCACTTCCACCTCCTGTTGCCAAGTGTTGGGGGTAGGGTGTGGGAGGGTTCACCTTCCTCAGAAGCATCGGTTGTTGGCTGCATCCAAGGCTGGGGATTTTGACTGGGGTGTGCCAGTGCTCCTGCTAGGACTAAAATACAGAGGTTCCTGGCTAGAGGGTCTTGCTCCTCTACTGAAAGTCAAACTGATTGCCACATTTGGAGTCAGGAAGGAATTTTACTCCATGGTCAGATTGGTACAGACTGTGAAGAGTTTTGCCTTCCTCTGTAGTGGAGGACATTGCTGTCTTGGATCTCTCAAGCAAATTTCAACAACCTTTGCAGTAGCAAGACACTAGCCACTGTTGCCACCCTTCTTTACCTGTGGCAGGTTAAGGTGCTGTGCCTTGTGGCTGTATGTCAGGGTTGATTGTGTAGTTTTACTAAATAGGTTAAACAAGGATTTGTATGGAATGATTTAGAGAAGGATGATTCTGCCTCAGACAGAAGTTTGGACTAGAAGACCTTTGGAGATCCCTTCCAGCCCTACTTTGCTATGATTCTATGAAAAATATTCAATACTTTAAGACAAAAAGGTAGAATTTTAACCTTTATGAACTGAAGAACTCTCTCTCTCTCTCTCTCTCTATATATATATATATAGGTTCTATTGTTCTTTATATAGAGAGAGAACAAAAGAACTTAGATAATTTTAAACCTTTTGTTTCAGTAATTTCTAAGACTTCATTTTGAATTCAAGTTTTTTTTAAAGTTCCTAGTGAAAAGTCTCTTCCAAAAAAAAAAAAAGAAAGGAAGAAACCCCCCCCAGAATCTTTCACTTCAAAATGTTATTTCAAAACCCTTTACAGTTTTGTTTTTTTCAAAATGAACGTTCATTAAAATAGTTACAGACTGAACAAATCAGCATTTTAAGGTGTAAAAAACATCTAATCAAAAATCCCTGACTGGTTCAAGGAGAGTGTACAGTCACATGTACAACCTAATCTATTGCTGTCATCAGCATACCCACCCCCTTCTCTGCCTAGCACTGGAGTGTGACAGACATACAATGGTTCATCTTTATCGCTGTTGCAAACAGGGTATTTTTAGTAAGCAATGGTTGGAGCCTAGCATGGTAATAGTTCGAACGTGTCTGCTGTTTACAGCCTCTGTCCACTTTCTTTCAACTCTTATTTCCCCATTTACCACATTGAAAAAACTTCTGTTGCATGCAGCCTTCAACTGAATCCAGAGCAAGCCACCCCTTTGAAACGGGATCAGGAGGCAGATTGTTGAGGGGCTGGAGTAACTAACTCATGGAGGCAGGCAGATGGAGAGAGACTTTATTTCCTACCTCTGCGTGCTGGCCAGGGCTGAGCTGCCGTTTGCAGTGGTAACACTTCAGACAAAGGGGATGGTAGTCTTTGCCTAGAGAACGTTTCCTCTCAGCTGTTAACAGAAGAAAAAGGTATGAGTAATTATACTCTGAGCACCTCATTAATAGTGGAACATATGTGAAACGGGTCTTTGATCCATGGAATTACTTGCCAAGAAACAGGAGGCGGGGGATGTTTTTTTTCTCAGATCAAAGCAGCAGTAGAATCTTTAATATGAGGACAATTTGGTGGGGTTTTTCTGTGAGTTGGTTTCATCAGCACTGCTGTGCCTCTGTCTATTTGAAGTTCACTCTTTTTTTAAACTTTACTCACTGGAAATTTCACACCAACCCAGGACAGAAAACCTCCTTTTCTTTTTCACTTCAGTCAGATGGGACAGGGTATTTGGCCACCTTGTGCAGGAGTTCTCTCCCAGGTCACACACACTGTTTTGTACAGATGCTTTCTTGGTTTAGGTTTGAGCTAAGATTAAAGCCCCACCCAGGGAGATGCCTTGCACAATCAGCTTGGGTACCTGATTGAGTTATTATTCAGTGTTTTACTCTGAGGCAATTGTGCATTTGATCCTAGGCAGTGAAGTTGCTCAAAGGAAAAAGATGGCACAAAATGGGATTAGCAATAACCATTGAACATTTGCTGGATGCTATGCTTGATGTTTACCTTCTAGTGCGAGAGAAGCAAGGCTCATTTATTGCTATATACTGCATAACACAGGAGGAAAACTTTACAAAAATACTGCCTGTTGTGCATGGCAAAGTATCAATGGCAGAAGTTGTCTTTTTTCATCATAGGTTTCTAGGTATCCACACACATTTAACATATGGGGCACATTTGGATGAACATGCATGTGTGTTTCCCCAAGGACAAATACCAGTGGCACAGTTGTGCTGCTGCTACTTGTCCCCAGGGAGTACCTGTGTACGCATGCTCTGACATGCAGCAAGTTGCTCCAGGTGGGGTGGAGGAGGCTAGGACTAGCACCAGGGCTGGCCCCAGCAGCTTTACCTGGGGGCCTGGGGACCTCCCAGGGCTCCAGCGGCAGCAATCCAGGCACACAAAGCCTGGCCACCAGCTGGAGCATTGTTCTGGCCAGCCAGGCTCTAGCTTCAGGTGACACATGCTACCACTATGTGCACCACCCCGCTTTTTTCTGCTGTGGGTTTTTTTTTTTAACACTGGGATCTCCTGGTGTCAAAAAACCACCACGCTGCTAATTAGCAGCATGGCGAATACCTGCATGTCTGGCGCGTGCAGTTTGTGGCATCACAGACGGGTCTGCAGTGCTGCAAACTGCACGTGTGCACTTGTCTGGATGCACCCATGCTGACCAAACCCAGCCTTTCAGTCACAAAACCTCTTCCTGGAATGACATAAGTCCTCAGCCAGCTAGCCATAAGCAAAGTGCCAATACAGATGCACTTCAGTGTCAAAACAGTGTTGGCTGCTTTAAGTCCTGGGTTCCTGCCCCCAATGCACCAAGTCTTTTGCTGACACAGGCACCAAGAGGATGAGCAGTGCCAGCTGAGCCTGCACATGGTCCAATGACGGAGCCGTCCCAGCTTCTGACAAAAGTCCCAGTGGCAACTAGATGAGAAGGCAGCTAGTGAAGACCTAAGAAAGTGATTTAAACCTTCAACCATTAGCAGGGGCTCAGGCACAAAGGGCAGACCAGGAACAACTTTTATTTGTTTTTCATTTAATTGCCAGATTTCAAGACACTGACATCCCTTGACTGTAACTACACAGGATAGTTTTTCCTCTTACTACAGAGCTATAAATCATTAAGGGCTCCCAAGAAACCTAGGAGGAAAACTGTAGCTTCATTGCCCCTGGATCCAGACTCCCTCTGACACCGGAGTGGGTTGTGCTCTGATCCAAGCCTGGTGGCTTTGGCTGATCAGTTGCTGAGCCCGAGCTGGACTCATGATGGGATACGGTTTGTGGCCTGAGCTTGGGGAAAGTTGGGTTCTAAACCTAGACCTTGCATTTTGGGGCCATCTCCAGCCCAAATCCAAACCAGTTCTATTCCATAGCTACCAGGAGCTGGCTTCAGGGCCAGGAAGACTGATACAGGCTATTGCAGAGATGCTGGGGAGTAAGAAGGCTGCAGGACAACCTATACCCCTCAGGACATCTCTGCTTCTTTGGCAGACTACCCCTTTTCCCCCTACATGTCCCCACTCCACCCTGGCATACCCCACACACGTGTGGTCTTGCCCTCATGAAACCTGAACTGGGCCCATAGACACAAACTGATCTGAATGGTTTGTGGGATTTTTGGGACTCTCACAAGTTCAGCTGCTATACTGGAGCTCTGACTAGGTTGAGGTTTGATGCTACAAGTTCAAGGGTATGAGCTGGAACAAGGCTGCAGCTGGTTACAATGCACACAGTCCCTCAGCACTTGTTATTAGCTGGGCCTGTATTAAGCTTGTGATGAGTTATATTTCATTGCTGCATTTTCTGGCATGTTCATTTTTAATTTCTGACTCTCATCCCTTTTGGAGTGGTGCCCTAGGAGGGGAGACTAAACGGTGTTACTGTTTTCTACTGGTTAGTTGTTCTTGCATGGTTTCACCACAGTACCACTGTTTACTTCCTGTTGCCCAGATCCTAAGTGTATGTAACTTAATATTTAGGTTTATTTACCTATGTCTGTCCCCCTCTCCTTAGCCCATTGGCTTGTGACCCTAATCCCCAAAATCGCCTATATAAAAGTGGGAATTTCCCTTGCTGGATCCCTGTGTCAGTTCCGGGGGTTGTGGGGTTTGGTACAATAATATGCCCATCAAAACACCCCAAGCCAATTGCCCCAATTGCTTTCTCCATGGCTATCCCTGTCCAGAGACCTGGGAAAATATTTGTACAAACATGAAATAAACAAGTGTTTCCTGACCAAATATATAAAAATTAATTAGTATTTCAGTGGGATGGCCATTAAAGTCAAGCTGTAATATAAGTCAAGGGCTTCAAAAGTTCAAATGAATCAACCCTGCACCTTCATGTGCAGTAATCCATGCCATGTCAGCAAGCCTGTTCATTCAAAGCTCCCTCTGCCTTGCCCCTGACCCAAAGCAAAAGGAAGAATTCGAGCCTTCTTACAAAAATCCAATTAACTTCACAACAGTGCCTCTACTAAGATTTTCTTTAACACCAGGGAAACAGGGACATGTGGTAACCTCTCCAAGGCATCAGGTTCTGTTGTTCACAGCAAAAGAAGATGCACGTGTGTATAATTCTGGAAATGTAATTTGGGAAGCAGGGTATTTGCCAGTCTGAACCAGATTACATATGCAGTGAGTATATGGGTGACCAATATGTGATGCTTCAGAGGAAAGTAGGTGCAACCCCCAAACCCACAATGTAGGTATTTAGTGATACAATCCAATATGGGAACAAGGGGAACTTCTTCCATGGGATCCCAGTTTAGGAGGGTACCTTGCATATCCCTAAGTCATGAATCTTCAAAGGCACTTTAAGAAAGGGATGTATTTAAATACCTGGCTAAGTATGGGCCTGGCGACTGTAGCTAACACCTGATGCCAACAAGTCAATTTCAGTGAACTATTCCACTAACATGTTGATAAAAAAATGGGAGAATTTTCACTATATTTTTCCTATTGTTCAGCCAGTTCAAATACCAATCAGTATTACAGTGCCTGAAAGTATCCAACCCCTTTAAATTTCAGCAACTCTATTGCACAGAAGTAAATTGATAATTCACAATAAATAATTTTGTTGCCAAATAGTGCCTCTTTTTTGTGAACAAGTAGTTGCCAAATAGTGCCCAAGATTTCTGTGAACAGGCGGTGACATTTTCACAAATGTCTTCAGTCACTAATTCTTGGTTTATAGACTGTTGGTGAATAGTTCATTACAGACCATTAAAATTGGCAGTTAGTGCTGTTTGGGTTATGTAAGTCATGTGGCATTGTTTCTGTTCCCTGATTTGATAGCACATTTAGCTAAATAACACAATGCAAATGGTGAAGTTCAACTGAATTAAATACCTTTATTTTGCTCTCAGTGAGTATTTGAGCAGTCAAGCTTCACAATCAATTTTCACAAGTATTCTCACTAATTGAGCTCAAATGCATGCATGTTCATGGAAAGTGAACATAATAGGGTCATGAACATGTCAGCTCCACATTTCATTTGGAATTCAAATGAATATGCATAACCACTTCCTCTGCTTCCCTCCCCTCCTCCACCAAGTATTTTCTTAGCTTTAGTATTTGACTCCATTATCCACTGCACTGTATTGTATTTGAAGAGAACAATATCAGACTTTTATAGCTTAATGCACCTCCTGACAGTTGGAAAATGTAGTGCTCTGAGTTCTTCATTCATCTGCAATTTGATTCACTTGCCATTTCCAACCAAGCAATTTATGGGGGAGTGTACAAGTGGGGAAACCAATCGATATGCCAAGTACTAGAAAAGTAGTCTGTGTAAGGAGTTCAAAGTCTGCAGGTAAAAACTGCCCAACATAAATCCAGTGTTACAAAAATAACTAAGCCAGGGGGAAATGTATATGGCTTAAATGCCCTCTTGCATCACAAACCGCTAATAAAACCTTCTCATCTACTTGCATATGTTCATAGAAAGGGGAGGACAATTCATCAATGAAATGAAACCATCATGTGACAGCAGTAAAGAATCACAAGGCTGCTTTCTTCTAGTATTGAATAAGGACTTTTATTAGCGTAAGTGAGGAAAACAGCTTTACCCAAAAGCCATTCTGGGCATATCTGTAGCAAGCAGTGTCCCTGCTGGGATGTTCCTGAGGATGCCCCATCCACAGACATGTTCCAAACCCAGAAGTACAGCAGTAAAGGGATGCTATCCAGGGGTTCTCTCTGCAGCCACTTGCAAGACATTGGTTTCTGCCACAGCTGAGAGAAGTTTAGGAAGGACTCTGGAGTGACCTCACCAGTGTAATTTTGGGGTTAGAGTGCATGGGCAGGGGAGAAGGGCAAGGGCTGGACAAGGAGGCAGAGTGTGTTTGGGGATGGCCTGGCTGGAATACTTCAGTGATGTGGTGCAGACAAG